GATCTGTATACACAAAATAATAATATTAGTAATCACGTTTTAGACTATCGTGTCTAAAAAAAGGTATTTTATGCTCAATCGTGACGTAGGTATAGCCAAGAATAGGGGTGACATATTATAGTCATAGGCGCAAATAGTGGGGGACTTATAGGTACCTAAACCAACCAAAAATTTCAATAGACCCCATCCAAACTTTTCCTATTTTTTTTTAAAGTTTTTTCAATATTATAGTAGGGCTTCAGCCTCCCCCCCCCCAAATGGTGCCACCCTGGTAAATACTAAATACTAAATAGTATACATTATCGATTATCATCGATAGGTATGTCAAATTGTCAACACAATAATTTTTCACACACGGATCAAGCAAACATTTAAAATTATTTATAGAAAGCTAAATACTTACCTAATAATATAAATATTATTTTGGTTATAATACCTATATTAATTTTCCAAGGCTAATTTATTTTTTATTTATAGATAGGTACAAAGTAAAACTTTTAGAATCTAATCTCAAAAAACAATTGTTAATAGTTAGGTATTAATGTATAGGTACCAATTAGCATAGGCGTCCGCACTCCGCACGGGTGGTGCTGTGTATATGCAAGACGTGCACCACCTGCTGCTTTATGGTCTGGTGTTTATTATAGAAACAAATTAATATGTTTATTTAAGTATGTTATTACTTATTAGTTATAAGTATATTTAGTAGTCTATTAATACATATTTTGTAATTAATCAATTAAAAAAAAAAATTACATTTTAAATTGTTTTCTTATCAATTATTGTAGGTGCATCTGAACTTATAGCATAGAACATGTTCTATCTTCTATGCTTATAGTAACTTATAGTAATTTATTTATGGTTGTATTTCAGTTTTCATAACTGTGGTATTTTCTATCAATTTGAAGAAGTCATTGAAGAATTCAAAACATTAATTCTTGCTATACGTCGTCTTGAACTATAGTCCCTATTAAATTATCATATATTTATTAAGATCATAATTCATAAGTGAAAATGGATATAATATAAGTAATTAATTAATAATTAATAATTAATAAATATGTTATTAGTTCCTTTGTTTCTTTTTTACAGTTAATACTGATGATTATAATATAATTCTATAGAATATTATTCTTTTATAACTTATAACTTATAAGGTTCTCAAGATTAAACAATTTTATTTTAAATTCATAACAAAAAAGGTGGGCAAGTGGGTGTCGCTCTACTGTACAGTAGGTTACAAGTCCTTCACTGTATAATGGATAGTATTAAATGTGAATTCAATGATATAATATCATTGTATAAGAAAAACGATTCTGAGCGGAGACGGTATGTCAGTCTAGGTAAAAGACATATTATATACATATCTATGGTATTAAACAAAAAATTGACCTATAATAGGTACCTATAAAAAATTCTAAATTAATCATATGACAAAATCCATTAGGTACTTATACCGCATTATACATCAACAACAAACCCTGATACTATCATAGATATATAATAGTACACTTTAGAAGTTTCAAGTACCCACGAATAATATTATTCAATTACAACAAAGTAACTAAAATAGTTATTCTAGGTATTTAATATGTAATTTCGTCCAAATATGAATTTAAAATGTCTGTAAAAAATAACTGAGCTCATATATTTTTTAGATTTTTTGGCTACAATATGAACTATTTATGAGAACCTTTGTTTTAAATTTTCAAACCTTAGCTATAAAAACTTAACATTTTATAATTTATTAATTACAATGATTGATAATTTTCGAGATTTTGATACATTTTGTCAAAATTCCAACTTTAAATACTTATAAAAAAGCCTATGTATTTTCAATGTTTTTAAACTGATATTGTAACAATATATCAGGAGTCTTGTATTACATTTTTACACTTTTTGGCCCAACAGAAAAAACTTGATTGATATTTATAGAAAAAAAAACTAAAAAATTTAAAACTGAAAATGTCCGTAAACAACCCAAAAAGAGTCAAAATATTTTCAAAACTGTATTGGGTATAGGAAATGCTAATATAAACATTCAGTGAATTTTTCATGTATCTATAGTAATTCGTTTTTGAATTATAACAAAATAAGGAAATCGCCACATGAGAAATCGAGTGATTATCCAATGTTGTAAAAATTTGAATTTCAAACGCTCATAAAAATTGAATTTGACTTTCTTATAGAATTTTTTTTTTTTGATAAATGTAGGAAATCTTATAAGGAATCTTGTATTACATTTTCATATCTTAGATTAAAAAGAAAAATTTTTATGAATTTCTAACTCGAAATAATTTGCAAATTTTCGTGATTTTCCATATTTTGTCATTTTTTGAACTTTAAATGCTTAAAAAAAAAACTGTGACCAACGAATTTAATATTTTTCATCTGTCTTTGAAACAATATAGTAGGAACTAGGAGCCTTGTATTAAATTTTCAATTATTTTTACTCAACAAATAAATTTTTATTGATATTCATAAAAAAAAAAAACTAATAAAATTGGAAACTGAAAATGTCCCTAAACAGTTCAAAATATTTTGAAAATGTTATCGTGTATAGAAAATGCAAATATAAACAACCACTGAAAATTTCATGTATCTACGGTCATTTTTTTAAAGTTACACCAAAAACCAAAATCGATTTTTTGGAAAACCGATTTTGAGTAAAAATTACCCGTTTTTTCCTTAATTTTTATTTTGTTTTTCCTGGCGCTTTTGAAAACTACTGGGAAATTTAAATTGTGACCTTCCCAATGCACCAACGATATTCACTTTCCAATCGAACAAGATACTGAAGTTGAAAATCGAAGCATTATTTCGACTACTTATCGTGTACAAAGACACAAAAAAAATAAAAACACACATTATTGTAAAATCAATACATTCATCGTTTCACTCAGAATCTAAAATAACCAACGCATAATTGTCTATTGCATAAAAATATTAAATTTATTAAATTTAGTATAATTTGTTAAAAAAATTATTTTATGCGAAACCACGAGAAATATTTCCAATATTTTTTACAGGAAAAAATTTTGGAGGATTACAAAAATAGTAGACGTAAATAGCAAAAGAGGAATGCACGATATCTACAACTTGCAAGTGCACGCCAATGGGTACACCCATAATAGATAGGTGGGTTAGTAAGTTAGTTAATATTTGCCCAATGGGTAGGTTAGACGAACAACTGTTAATATTTTAATTAAGTACATTTCCTCAAAATATACTCCATTAGTTCTTTACCTATAATCTATCCAAAAACTTATTTCTACTCAGTATCATTTCAAAATATAAATATATATAAAACGTTGGTAGGTAGGTATATAAGATTATTATCTAGTCTGCGTATTGAGTGTATCTAGAAATTTAAATTTAAAATAGAATAAAATATTATTATTTTTATAAGAATTTATAATTGTTCAAGCCGCCACTGCTTGTATATAATAGTTATAACTAAGAAGTTAATAGAATAATAATTATTAATAACAATATATTATAAATGATATACCATAATAATGTCCATTTAAAGTCATTTAATGTCTAATAAATAATAATTAATAGGAATCTAATATCCCAATACAAAAATGATGTAACAAAATTCAACAATTTTCTAAAAATTATCTTAAATTGTTGTAATAATAGGTTGGTAGGTATCTAAGTGTCTTAAAAATATTCTTTTGCTGAGTGTGACATTGAATAATATATTATATTTAAATATATTAGTTTATATCTTCGTTGTTGCTGCTTATTAAATCTATCAGATAATTAAATAATTTTATAATTTATGTATATTAGGTAGGACGTTGGTAAAATATTTTAATTTAGATCTGAATACTTGTTGAGTTTTCGAGGGGGTTTTAAAAATTTTTGGGTGATCCATGCCCCAAAGTCTACCTACTTACGGCTTACTTGCACTTATTATGAGCATCATCCTAATTAAATCCTAATAAGTAATAACCTACTTACCTATTATTTATTTATTCGAATCAAGCTGTATTTTCAAGCGTTCAAAATAGGTATAATGATTATCAAATAATTTTAATGGTTTGTCACGCAATAATATAACCTATACCGGCTATACCTATGAATAATACACTGTTATATTATATAGATACAAGATACTATATTATACTAATGCATTCATATATGTATTTTGTTATTGACCTTTTTAATTTATAATTTAAAACGACAAACGAATAAATTAATTCGTTTATAGGGGCTGTGGAATTGGAGGAGGCCCATCGGGACCTTCGACCCGGAAGTTTTAGTTGTTGTGGCTTACAGCACGGGCGGACCAGTAACCAAATCACAAATAGGCGGAGTAATTGTCGGAAGCAACAAATATGAAGGGAACTGTGAAAAGTGCAGCACGGACCACCGTGAGCGATGCAATCGATCTGTACGGACAAGTAAGAAGGTCACGTAAAAGCGGAAGCACACGTGCACACGAGCGCCGTATCCGTCCTTATTACGTGGTTATAATTTTTCGAACAAAAGACCGAACGGTGAACAATGAACATGGATCACGTCTTGTCCGCCATCACCATCCATTCGTCCTTGGTCCATGGAAATGGTCCCCGTTATCATGTCACCATCGCCCTTATCAGTCAATTCGCAATCTTTTTTATCAACTGTGATTATCAGTTGTCATCGAACACAAATGAGTAATAAAAAAATATTATTTTAATGTATACACTACATAGTATGGCCGTATGGGTAACCACCTACGTTTTACATTATTCGTGTGTCGTTCAACAGTCGGTAGTCATCGCAATAGATTTATAATAATATTGTAATCGTTTTAGATTAAAATATTTCATTGTTTTGAATCGCATATTTACGTGTTATCGAAGCTCGACACTCCGACACTTACCGAGCTGCGCTCATCACGACTTTAGTATTTGATATTGTACATTTTTTTTTCATTCAATTGATCAGGTGTTATTGTTTTATTATTTTATTTACCGTTTCCATATTATTATATCGATTTTAATAATATGACGGTTTTATCGAAAAAAAAGGCTCAGGCCCTATCGGAAGAATGTGAACCTTCATCGAGTGCACACGGCCATGTCTTACCTCTTTCAACAACCCAAACACACTCTCAGGTAAACAATAATCTGCAGAGTTATTTTATTAATTTCTCCGCCTTGTTTCAAAATTAAATGGTTTTATAATATTACCATACCTACTGAATTTATATTTTAATTTAGATATACTTATATTTGTAAGAGGTAGCCTAATTTAAGAAGGTATTTATGCTGTTAATAAACAACTTTCAAAAAATAAATAGTTAGGTCAGACAAATTTTGCACTGTCCTTTAATTTTAAAAACATTGTGAAACTCAAATTTAGTTGTTTACAGTTTAGTTCAGTTTTTATTTTATATTTTGCAAAAATATATTTAGAACCTGAAGGTTATGGTTGGATTTGGTTGGCACATACATATTGTAACAAATCACATTTCTATTTGATTTTGAAATTCAAAAGTTAACAACTTAATTGTGTTTCTGGAAACGTTTTTAATACTACCTTTTTAAAAATTATATATAAAATATTGTGGACTATTTTTAAAGTGTAAAATTAATTTAGGTATCTACCTATATCATAAAGAAAAAAAGAACTACATGCCTTTTATTATAGGTACATAGCCAATTTTAGTTGGTTATACATTTTTTTATGAAAAATAATGTTTTTAAATTGAATTGGAATTATTATACCTACTTAGGTACTTATTTCTTTATTTATTCAGGTTGGTCTACCTACCTACCTATATTCGTATTTATTTATTTATTTATTTATTTATTTATTTATTTATTTATTTATTTATTAGGCTCTGATTATACCTACATAATATACCTTATTAGTTGAAATTTTTGTTTAATTAATTACTTATAAAAATAATGGATCAATGTACTTACCTACCTCTAGATTTTTGCTTGATAGTTAATAATTATTCTCTTTAATTTATATTGCAATATAAAATATGCCTTCATTAGCTTATTCATATGAAAATGTATAATATTAAAAATGCTATAGGTAAAAATACATTTATTTTAATCTACAACAAAGTCATAAATTTAGTAAGGTTATATTTGGCTTACAATGATAGATAATTTAAATTTAAATTGAATAGTTATGTTGTACCTATACATTATAGTAATTATTAGTCTTAAGTAACTGTAATTTTATTTTGAGAACTCTTATAAAGATTAGTTAAATATTTATTTTAGAAATTGATGGAGTCTTATAACTATATTGAGTATTACTTGTATTTTAATGTTTAAAATTATTTTTACATATTATATATATATACAGGGTGATTTTTTTATCGAAGAACACTCATTATTTCAAAAAGTATTAATGTTTAAGAAAATATTTTTTTACATAGTTTCAAGTTGTTAAAAAACAATATTTTTATTAAAAAATTATATTTTTAAATATTTTTTATCCTTTAAATTTTTTAAGTTTTTTACTTTTTTGAATGACAACATCTAATTTTAATTTGATATTCAAAAACAGAATATTTTTCTGATTATTTTAATACATAAAAATTGAATTTAGGGCAAGTAGTTTATGAGTTATAAGTATTTAAAGTTTAGATGAGCGGAGTAGAGGACAAACATTTCGCGGGGTAACCCCGTACCACTCTACTCCGCTCATCTAAACTTTAAATACTTATAACTCATAAACTAATTGCCCTAAATTCAATTTTTATGTATCGAAATACTCAGAAAAATATTCTGTTTTTGAATATCAAATTAAAATTAGATGTTGTCATTCAAAAAAGTAAAAAACTTAAAAAATTAAAAGGATAAAAAATATTTAAAAATATAATTTTTAATAAAAATATTGTTTTTTAACAACTTGAAACTATGTAAAAAAATATTTTCTTAAACATTAATACTTTTGAAATAATGAGTGTTCTTCGATAAAAAAATCACCCTGTATATCAGGTTCTTGTATACTAAAAGTAAAATATTAGATAACTTATCGTTTATATCATACACTCAGTAAATTTTCTTAGGTTAACAGAATACAGGAATTTTGAGTACGAGGGTGTTTATATGGCATAGCCAGTAGTCATCTTTAATTTTTTAAATAACATTATTCATTCGATTTACTGTACAATAATTTACCTTAAAATAAATCATAGTAATTTAATTGTTTTAACTCGTACTCCCCTATTTCTGTGATCTTCAATATACTACCCTCAAAAACAGGGTTACTCAGCTAATAGTGTAGTATATAATATTATTACTATTTTAAACTACCCCTTAACTTGATAGAATTAGGTGTAAATATTGTAGCCACTTGGTTTGAAAGAACAAAGGAGGTGTGTTGCAATTGGGTGGTGACACCGGGCAATAGTAAATAGGTAGTTTAGTAAAAAATGAAATATACTAAACAAACATGGACTAAAACTTTATTTTTGAAACCACAATCCAATTATTGAACTAGTTACCATGAACAATTTTGGGGACAGTTTGCCCAGGGCGTCCACTAAATTACTTTATTCTTAATCTATCTATACAATATTACAGGTAGATAGACGATAAATTAATGCTAACTATTATTAATATTTCAGATAAAAACATTAGATGAAAGAATTAAGTCTCCACAAAGATGGTCTGTAGAAAATATTGAAAATGTCTTAAGTTCAAAACAAGCAAAACGCAGGATTCACCGTAGTCCTCACAGGTACTTTTATTTCAGTAGTATATTTTTAAATAAACCAAGAAAATTTTATTCTGTGTCAAATATTAGTTTTGTATGTGTTGTTCGTTATCATCTCGATTATCAGCATGTTTTTAGTCAACATTATTGTATCTGATTATAATATGACGTACCTATCCACAATAAATTCTAAATGTTTTGGAATGTCTTGAAATATATTTCTTATGTCTTTTCTAATTAGTTGTTAATCATTTTAAGAAATACAAGAAATAGTAAAGGACGTGATAGAGACAATAGATCATCTCAAAGTCCTGGTACTTGCCAGTGTGGAGCCACTGACTTAAATGGTCACTGTAGTTCAGATAAATGTGGATATAATAGCGAGGATGAATACGGCGAAATTCCAAAGCAATTCAATGACATAGAATGGGCTGAGGTAATTGTAGATTGATTTTAATATTTTAAAATCTGAATAAATAAAACTTATTCATAAGTACTTATTATGTTCATTATAATAATATGTACTATGTAGTTATAATGTATTTATATTATAATATATTTATTACTTTATTATGAATACTTTAATACATTTTACATATATATTTATGATTTACACATTAAATGTGTTTACAAAACACCAAATTAATTTTTTGTACAGAAACAAAACATTATTCCAATTATTTAATATTAAATCTACTATGATTTATAATACTTAAGCATACATTTCGAAATTACATTAAGTATAGTCTCACTTAATAATGAAAATGTGCTAAAGGTTTCTGCGTGAATGTGTTTACAAAGAATTAAATCAAAATTTAGCGATAGTTTAATTTGTAGCTTAACATAATTTATAATTTGTTTTACTGAAATACTTTATGTTAAGTTTTGAACAATAAACACTTAATAACATACATTTTATAAATTTCAGCAAGATCGTATCTTTGAAAAAAAGTTGAAAAAATGTGATCTGATTTTAAAACAAATGAAAGATGATGGTGCATGTCTATTTAGAGCTGTATCAGATCAATTATATGGCGACCAAGATATGCACGATATAGTTCGTAAACAATGCATGGATTATGTCGTGAGTAATTTATTAAAGTAGAACAATTTTTTTTTTATTTGTCGTACTAAATTCATTTAACTTGACTTTTAATAATTTTCATAATGATGGCAAAATTTCATTTTTCTTTTTGACAATTCTATTCTACATAATTGATTAGGAAATTAAATTAGTCAGCTTCAGTTATTATATGTATATTTATTCCATCTTTTGAGTTCAATTTTTGAATCAAAATCTATACCTCCTAATTGTTCAACATACATATTTTAATTATACACAAAAATTGTCTAATTAATATTAATTACTTTTTAGTCAAGCAATAAAGATTACTATATGCAGTATGTTACTGAAGATTTCAATACATATATTGCTCGTAAAAGACTAGACCGAACTCATGGAAACCATGTGGAAATACATGCTATGTCTGAGTTATATAACCGTCCAATTGAAGTTTATTGTTATGAAATTGGTAAATTATTTTAACTTTGAAGTTCTTGAAAAATGATTTTAATATTATTATTTTTTTTGAAGAACCAATAAATATTTTCAATAGAGCTAATACATCAGAATCCTCTAATCCACCAATAAGATTATCTTATCAAAGAGGAAGTCATTATAATAGTATTGTAGATCCACATAAGGCAACAATTGGTATAGGATTAGGATTACCAAGTTTTTCACCTGGTTCAGCCGATAAAAAATTGTTAACTGATGCTGTTCGTCAAAGCGAAGATTACATGTTAGAACAGGTATGTTATACGTACAAATTTACGTTTAAAAGTATATTAAATATATTCTATTGATAAGGTACTTGATATCAGCTAATTATTGTGCATAAAATGTTTCAATGATTTTTATGGTTAAAATGTATATAAAAAAAGGTGGGTAAGTGGATGTCGCTCTGCTGTACAGTAGGTTACAAGTGGGTCACTGTATAATGGATGCTATTAAATTTGAATTCAATGATAAAATATCATTGTATAAGAAAAATGATTCTGAGCGAAGAAGGTATGTCAGTCTAGGTTTAAGACATATTATATACATATCTATGGTATTAAAAAAAAAATTGACCTATAATAAATTCCAAATTAATCATATCACAATATCCACTAGGTACTTATAACACGTTATACATCAATAACAAACCCTGATACTATCATTGATATATAATATAGTGTACTTTAGAAGTTTCAAGTACCCACGAATAGTATTATAGACTCACAACAAAATAACTAAAATAGGTATGCTAGGTTTTTTAATATGTAATTTCATCAAAAATTTGAACTTAAAATGTCTGTAAAAAATAACTGTGCTCAAATATTTTTTAGATTTTTGGCTACAGTATGAACTATTTATGAGAATCTTTTTTTTTAATTTTCAATCCTTAGCTATAAAAACTGAACATTTTATAATTTATTAATTACGATGGTTGATAATTTTCGAGATTTTGATAAATTTTGTCAAAATGCGATCTTTAAATGCTTATAAAAAAAAATTATGCCTATGTATTTTTAATATTTTTCAATTGATATTGTAACAATATATCAGGAGCCTTGTATTAATTTTCACACTTTTTGGCCCAACAGATAAAACTTAATTAATATTTATAGAAAAAAAAAACTAAAAAATTGAAAAATGAAAATATCCGTAAACAGCTCAAAAAGAGTCAAAATATTTTCAAATTGTATGGTGTATAGGAAATGCTAATATAAACATTCAGTGAAATTTTCATGTATCTACAGTAGTTCGTTTTTGAATTACAACAAAATAAGGAAATCGCCACATGAGAAATCGAGTGAATATCCAATGTTGTAAAAATTTGAATTTCAAACGCTCATAAAAATTTAATTTGACTTTCTTATAGAATTTTTTTTTTGATAAATGTAGGAAATCTTATAAGGAATCTCGTATTACATTTTCATATCTTAGATTTAAAAAGAAAAATTTTTATGAATTTCTAACTCGAAATAATTTGCAAATTTTCGTGATTTTTCCATATTTTGTCATTTTTTGAACTTTAAATGCTTAAAAAAAAAACTGTGACTAACGATTTTTAATATTTTTCATCTGTCTTTGAAACAATATAGTAGGAGCATTGTATTAAATTTTCAAGTATTTTTACTCAACAAATAAATTTTTATTGATATTAATAAAAAAAAAAAAAAGGTGGGTAAGTGGATGTCGCTCTGCTGTACAGTAGGTTACAAGTGGGTCACTGTATAATGGATGCTATTAAATTTGAATTCAATGATACAATATCATTGTATAAGAAAAACGATTCTGAGCGAAGACGGTATGTCAGTCTAGGTTTAAGACAAATTATATACATATCTATGGTATTAAAAAAAAAATTGACCTATAATAAATTCCAAATTAATCATATCACATTATCACAATATCCATTAGGTACTTATAACACGTTATACATTAACATCAATAACAAACCCTGATACTATCATAGATATATAATAGTACACTTTAGAAGTTTCAAGTAGGTACCCACGAATAATATTATATAAACACAACAAAATAACTAGGTTTTTTAATATGTAATTTCGGCCAAATTTGAACATAAAATGACTATAAAAATAAACTGTGATTGTATATTTTTTAGATTTTTCGGTAAGAGAATTAACTACTTACGTGGAATCTTGTTTTAAATTTTCAATCCTTAGCTATAAAAACTGAAAATTTTATAATTTATTAATTACGATGATTAATAATTTTCGAGATTTTGAAAAATTCTGTCAAAATTCGATGTTTAAATGTTTATAAAAAAAAATTGTGCCTATGTATTTTTAATATTTTTCAACTGATATTGTAACAATATATCACAGGAGCCTTGTATTAAATTTTTACACTTTTTGGCCCAACAGATAAAACTTTATTGATATTCATAGAAAAAAAAACTAAAAAAATTGAAAAAGGAAAATATCCGTAAACAGCTCAAAAAGAGTCAAAATATTTTCAAAATTGTATGGTGTATAGGAAATGCTAATCTAAACATTCAGTGAAATTTTCATGTATCTATAGTTATTCGTTTATGAATAACAACAAAATAAGGAAATCGCTACATGAGAAATCGAGTGAACATCCAATGTTGTAAAAATTTGAATTTCAAACGCTCATAAAAATTTAATTTGACTGTCCGGTAGAGATTTTTTTATTGATAAAGGTAGAAAAACTTATGAGTAATCTTGTATTATATTATCAAATCTTAGATTTAAAAAGAAAAATTTTTACGAATTCTTAACTCAAAATAATTTGCTAATTTTCGTGATTTTTCCATATTTTGTCAATTTTTGAACTTTAAATGCTTATAAAAAAAAAATGTGACTAACGATTTTTAATATTTTTCATCTGCCTTTGAAACAATATACTAGGAGCCTTCTATTAAATTTTCAAGTTTTTCTACTCAACAAACAAAGTTTTATTGATATTTTTAGAAAAAAAACTAAAAAAAAATGGAAAATGAAAATGTCTCTAAACAGTTCAAAATAAATCAAAATATTTTGAAAATGTTATCGTGTATAGAAAAGGCAAATATAAACAACCAGTCAAAATTTCATGTTCCTACAGTCATTTGTTTTAAAGTTACACCAAAAACCAAATTCGATTTTGTCAAAAACCGATTTTGCGTAAAAATTTCCAATCGAAAAAGATACTGAAGTCGAAAATCGAAGCATTATTTCGACTACTTATCGTGTACACAGACACAAAAAAAAAAAATAAAAAAAAAAACACATCATTGTAAAATCAATACATTCATCGTTTCACTCAGAATCTAAAACTAATAAAATTGGAAACTGAAAATGTCCCTAAACAGTTCAAAATAAATCAAAATATTTTGAAAATTTTATCGTGTATAGAAAATGCAAATATAAACAACCACTGAAAATTTCATGTATCTACGGTTATTTGTTTTAAAGTTACACCAAAAACCAAAATCGAGTTTTTGGAAAACCGATTTTGCGTAAAAATTCCCGTTTTTCCTTAATTTTTATGTTGTTTTTCCCGGCGCTCTTGAAAACTACTGGGAAATTTAAATTCTGACCTCCCCAATGCACCAACGATATTCACTTTCCAATCAAACAAGATACTGAAGTCGAAAATCGAAGCATTATTTCGACTACTTATCGTGTACACAGACACAAAAAAAAATAAAAAATAAAATAAAAATAAAAAAAAAACACACATCATTGTAAAATCAATACATTCATCGTTTCACTCAGAATCTAATATATATTATTAAAATATTATTTATTAGTTAATGTTACTATTACTATTCATAAATACTTTTTATTTTATTTATTGTATTTTATATGTTACTCTGTTATTGTTGCCATACGAATAAAAATAAATTCATCAATTTAATGGATTAATTATGGGTCACTAAATCATATTTAAGGGACCATTAGCACTGATTCAATAAATGTTAAATGATTATTTATGCATCCCTGCATTAGTGTCTTTAATATGAAAATTTGTAATAATATTTTTTCAGTTTGTTTTATTATAATTTTTATTAATACCACAATTTATCTTAGCTAAGTAGGTAATCAATTAAATGAATTAGTAATTACTTTTATAGTGTTTATAGTTTTAAATAATGGTTGTTAATTAATTACATTTTTTCAAAAATGTTTAAAACCATTGCTTTGTTTTTCAATGAAGAAGCCCCATGTTTCTGTATGACAAATATATGTAATAATAATATAATTTTGATTTGTACAGACAATGTTAGAAGATAAACTCAGAGCTACAGATTGGGAAGCCACAAATGATACAATTGAAGAACAAATAGCACGTGAAAGTTATTTACAATTTTTAAAAGATAATGAAAAACGAAATAAAGTGAGTTTTCAAATTTAAAATTTTCTGATTCTGATTAAAATTATTAAAATTATTACAGAATGACAAAGAGTCTTCAGCTACGTCAACTGCCACTTCTGCATCTATTGTCAAATCATATCAATCTCGAACTTCGCCCCCAAGATATTCAGTTGGACCTAAAACCCCACCTCATTTATCTCCTCGCAGAGATCGTTCAGAAATAGAAAATCCAACATTTGTCACATTACCACCTCATCTTTTTGGTAAATATATTTTAGTTGCATAAATTATTACTTTATCTTAAAATTCACTTTTATCATTAAGGCATGTCAAAATGGGAAGATATTGGTATCCTAACTAAAGTGCTGGCCACTTCACAACAAGAGTACCTTGACAGTTTAAAAAGACAGCGCGATGAACACAAAGAAGAAGGAGATAAGATATATTTATATGATACAGAAAAACCATCTACTTCTCAATGAAATTAGAAAACAATGATAATGTTGATAAGATATACATTATGCATTATTATTAAGATCAACAATTTTTTCTCGCCGTTTTTTTTTAAATTAATTTTATTTTAATCTACCACGAGCTTTAATATCTTGCCTGGGTGGCCCCCCAAAGGTACTTCACCGTTCACATTTTTTTCATTCAATCAAATTTTTTCATTTTTTAATTATTTTTTTTTAAATTTTAATTGTTTAGGTAGGAACTTGTTTGCTTATGCTCCTCCATCAAGCCGCATAAAATTTATCATCCTGCTATCTGGCAACCTTTAGTCAGTATAATCAAATCTAAAATTTGAATATTTCTCTGTATCTCAATATTTTATGTGTTAGCTAGTCTAGTATGAAATTTATTTATGGAAAATACTAAATACTTCTTATATAGTATTTGAAATTATATTTTATTATATTATAATTAAAGTCTGGATTTATATATTCTTACATATTTGATAATTTTTCATGGGTAGGGAATATTTAGATTATTTGGCATATTTTGCAACTATGAGAAAAAAATACCAATTTATTTTATTTTTAAAACTATTGTTATCAATTTTAATATTACGGTACTTGAAAACATTTTTTCTACCATAATTATTTTTTATATAATTTTGAAAAAAAAAACAGTGATTTGAAAGTATTATTATGTCATTGTCATAGATCTAAGTATATAATATGGTCGCTGTGTCGTTATATATTAGTTAACTTAGTGTTAAGTTAAAATTTGCTAATTTGCAAAAGTAAAAAAGTTACAGACACATAGTATATTAGATAGTTTTTCTTTACACTCAAGAAGAGTACTGGGCAAATTTAAAATGATACATCAAAGTAAAAATCTCATTAAAAAATTTGAATTATTCTTCGGACGAAAATTAACTTAATTTAAATACTTTTAAAGTAAATTTAACTTGAAGTTAATATTGAAAAAAAAGTAATAAGTTAATTAACTTAATTTTAACTTGTTTATACCCAGCACTGTGTGTGTTAACCTAACCTATACAGATAACAATTTTTTTTTTTATCAAAAGTCCAAATTTAATTTGGTTTAGCAATTGCATATTCTTATGTTTTTCAAATAAATATAATAAAAAATTGATTTATTATACCTTTTAAAACAATTGATAGAACCATTAAACAAAAAAGAAATTATTTTAACTGTTCTATAGTGCAATTATTCCATTATGCAAATGTATATCTAACTATTATTAAAATAATTCATTATTTTTCAGAAAATATAATTTGAATATTTGTAGGTTTTTAGAGAATAAAATTTTTAGCTTCATATTTTAGGTGTTATATGAGAATATAAATCCGGACTTTAATGATAATTATGTTTGTATGTTGTCTGCAACAATGCTAGTTTATAGAAATGTATAAATTCAAGTGCATACTTATCTTAAAATTAACTTATCTTAAGATCTTGTTAAAAATTAATTTTAATGATCTATTTTTTGCCATATTTAAATTGGCATTCAATTTTTATAATAAATAAAATGTGTAATATTTAAGAATCTTAAGGGAATGTTTTTATTTCTGTATTTATTTCTGTTTTATTATGAAATATTAATTATCAATTATGCTTCTATTGATCGTATACAATAAAGGTATTATTATTATTATTTACTTTTATTCAAAAAATGTGTAATAGTAGGTATAAAAAAAATACCATAATACAACGGAAGGTCACCTGGTGGCGGGGTGATAAATTATATACTGCGTGGTGGCGGGTAGTAGCAAACAAGTACCATTGTTTATTATGTAATTAAAATTTAAAATACTTGAATAATATATTCAATTACATTTTTTTTATTATTTTGATTCAGCTAGTTTTTCAAAGTTATATAAATTTGGAAAAGTTTAAATAATTTTGTTTTAAAGAGCTTTTGTTACTTGTGAGTACTAAAAAACACACATAATTTTCATGTATTATAATATTAGATTATAGGTGGCCAACAGGTCAATAACAATATGATTTTGAGTTGATTGTGACTCCCTTTAGTCATTAATTATAAATGAAAAAAACTCAAGTTTGATCACAAGTCCATTTAAGTTAGCCACCCTAGATATAAGAATAGTATAGTTATATTATAGTAATAATACAATATTACATATTATAATTAATTGTCTGAATGAATAAAAATGAAAATTGAATGAAAGCCAATGAAAGTTACTCACGGTAGATTAAAGTATGTAGTCTTACTTAATTTAATTGATTTTTATCCACCTAAGTCATATATTTTTTAATATTCTGTATTTTTAAAACATTTGCTGTACTTGTTGACTAACTGCAACTAAGATATATTAATTAGGGGCTACTCCCCCACTAGATTTTAGTTAAGCAAGAAATGTGTCGATATTACATTAAAAATTCTAAATCTATCAATCTAAAATTAAGTAGTTAATGCTTTATGATTAAAGACCAGATTTTTGTGCACCAAACATCTGAAAAAGGGGCAATTAAAATGCCGAAAGGTTTAATATATGTATTATGATTTATGGAGAACAATCTTTTAGGTTAGGTATGTCAAATTATATTTCCATTACTATTTATTTTATTATAGCTGACCCCGTGCACTTCACCTTTGCCCATAAAAATTTTTATTTGATTCAAACTTTATTCAATTTGTTATTTAATATTTGGTATAATGACTAAATATAATGGTGTTCAAACTAAAAAAAAAACATTTAATTTTAAATCGGTAGATAGTAATAACGAATAAGTAACTTTTTTTTCTTATGATTTTAATAGCTGTCAACTAAAATAACTGATTTAATCTATTATCAGAAATTCTCAAACTTTTTTTTTCGTTCCACTCATGTGTATTCTGGATTAGTCATGTACTCACCATTAATGTATAAAAATAATAATTTAGTTACAACTAATAGCATATTTAGTACCTATTTACTCAAAAAAAAAAAAAAAAATATCGGATTCGTTACAAACATTATTAAAAATTTCAGTTTATTAATTTTCCGTACCACCACCCCACATCTTCTGCATGCGTACCATATGTAGTTTTCTTGATACCACAGTTTGAGACGGCTGATCTAAACCTTCCTCGAATCGTCTAAATCTTTCAATTATTATAAATTCTATAATCTATACCAGCGGTTCTTAACCTTTTGTAGATCGCTGACACCTAATGAAAGATTTTTAGAAATCGCGGACCCCCTTTCCAATTTTTTTACAAAACATCTCATGTTATCATAACCAACATTATAATAATTATTTTATATTAAAAATTACATTAGTAGACAACAAAACATACACATTTCCAATTATTTTTATTACAATTAATTTTTTATAAAAATGTAATTGAGTACGATACTACGATCGATCAACTGCAATTATAGTGGTAGTAAATATAAGACTGCCGAGACTATTTGGTGTAGAATCTACATATTATATATGAAAAAAATAATAATAATCCAATAATATTGTAATAATGCACTCTGTCACTTATTGATATATGTTATGTGTTGAGGCTGCCGCGGACCCCCGACATGAGTATTGCGGACCCCCAAGGGGCCCCGGACCACAGGTTAAGAACCACTGAGCTATACAATTAATAATATCCCTATATATCAATAATCCTCCAACCTCCTAAATATAAAACCATATGCTGTGGATTACTAATTTGAATAATAACATAAACATATTTTATAGTCTTTGATTGTTAACTTAATGATGTACATCAAAATTGTCTACTCACTAATAACCAATGGACGGTCCTCACCAGTCATTTTTTTTTCAAGTGTGATATTTTCAAGTTTTCTATTTGCAGCTGTGACATAATAATATGTACATATTTTTATGTATCCTGGGTATATACTTAACCTAACCTAACTGTTTTTTTCTTAAAAAATTATACCTATCATCTCATCTATCAAAAATATGGTTGTCACAACTTTATTATCTTTATTAAATCATATTATATTAAATTCCAATGTCATTGATAAAGTAACACAAACTAAAAATAATATCTATAATACATGTAATAATGAGAATCCTGTCTTTATTTATTGATATTCTCTGTTTTTTTTTTTTTTATATAAGCACTGCCTCAATAGCTCTATTTTAGTTTAGCCTTTGTGTATTTAGTTATATTCAGGGCTCGTGAGTACATGTACTAAAAAAACACTTGAATATAAAATATGCAACTAAACTTGCTCAAATATACAGTAAAAAATCTTGAGCTACGCAATAAAAACATATATAAGTTTTCAACAACCATTATTTTCAATGTCTTATTTGTTAATCATTTAACCATATATTGATTATATTATAAAATGTATAAATGGTATTTTTAAATTTTTAATCAAATTTTGTTTCTGATTGACAAAAAAAAAATGGTGGGTACTTACATTTAAACTTTAAACCATTTGTGTTAACAAATTTAAAATGCTCCAAAATATGCCAAATATCTAAAACTTTAAAATATACAATAATATACCAAATAAATGTTATATTATGCTGAATCCTATTTCCTTGAAATTGATTTTTGTGTTACCGTGGTAAGCTCTTCCAAAAAGGTTCTATTGAAATTAAATACATTATTCAGTGCTTATGTATCAATAGATAATTTTTCACATAACTTTATACACTCGCAATGATTGTTCCTTCATAGTTCATAGAGAGTTTATAGAAATCTTTTATTTTAATTCCAGTTTGTAAATAGCTTTTTTTATGTGTCTATATAAAATTAAAATTACAACAATTTAAGCAATGTATGTATTATAACATTAGTATGTAGTGAATGTAAAATTGTAGTATTGTGTTAAATTTATTGTGTTAATACATGATTATGGTTTAATAATCATCAAGCTAATATAATGTTATATGCCGGGTTGCATAAACAATTACTAATCATTTAATGCACCAATGAGCTAATAGCCTCTTAAACATTAAAACATGATTAAATAGCCTATGATTGATCCATTAATTTTATTGAATCATTAAATGAATCAATGTTTTG